TAAAATAACTAAACCTCCCGTCCTGGGCTGCAGCAGCCCCCAAATTAGGTACAAGTCTAGTAGAGACAGCAGCAGCAGGCGCAGGAGAAAGGCAGGCTGGGAAAACACTGAAAACAATTCAGTGTTCAACATACCGCTTTCTGACAGTTGGAGGCAGGATGCTGGATGCAGCTCTGTGAGAACTAGTGCTTCCCCCAGCCCTGAGGTCACAGACCTGGCACACTGGCCCCTCCCCTAGGTTGGCCTTTGAGGGTCCGAGAGAAGCCCTTTTTCATGCCACACAGCTTTTGGGGCAGTTTACCCAGCCAGGAAGAACAGCAGAGTTTACTGCCTAGCTGTGTGCCTAGGGTAAATGGATTCTCTTTTTAAATGGGAACCTGTTTTTCTTATTTGTAAAGTGGGAGTTAATACTCTTTTGAATGTTGGTGTCAGAGTTTCTGAAATGGTCTGTGTAAAGCCCAAAGCCTGGCCTGGTTAGGCATTCTGCAAATGTTAGTCCCATCCTTTTTCTAAAGGGATGTCTGACTGCCTCTGTGGAGGAGACATCCCCCTGCCCCAGAGGCCTTATCCGACAGAATTGACCTTTGACCTCCCACCGATGCCCTGGATTCTTCTGATTTTTCCAGTCACCCTCCCCTCCCCCAGTCTGGGGAGCTGACCAGCGTGGGGTCCCCCTCAAGTATGTCCTCCAGCTCCACTGGAACTGCAGTTTAGGGCATGGCCCTCTTTCCTCATCCTCTAACAGGTATAAGGATGTTAGCTTTCCAGCTAGAGAAAGTTGTGTTTCTGTTGTTGGCTCCACAGGGGAACCTGGAATCCTGCACAGGGTGGGGATGTGCCAGAGAGGGCAGGCACTTGCCTGAAGTCACACAGTGGGCTTGCAACCAGGAAACTCATGGGGCTGGTATCAAGGAGCGGTGCCTGAGCCAGGTCGCATCTGCCTTGGGATGTGAGTTGGGGGAGAGGGTACATGGTGGTGGGCAGCTCAGAGCCTGGGTCTTGCCCCCCTGCTACTTCCTCCACCTCTCTGGGGTTGTGGAGGCCCCGGTCTGCTATGGGGTCTGTGTGCCATGCTCCAGGCATGCCTCCGTACTGCCAGTCTACCCGCCTGCTTTTGATGTTTATTTCTTTACTATTTATTGGTTCCATTTTTAAAGTCTCACCCTTGTGGGAAACCCTTCAGGGGAGGACAAGACTCTAAAATAAAACACTGATTAAAATGCATAAAACAAAAAATGCATAAACACCTGTCCTTGCGATTGCTGGAGTAACCAGCAAGATTAATCGTGCCAGGATGTCAGGAGTGGCACATTGCCCATTCATCATACACACCCTGCCAGCATTCCTTGATGACAGAGTCCTTGGTAGGGGTGTTAGATCAGGATACTAGGTGCTGGGCTGGCTTGGGCAGGCACCCTAGGCGCTCTGATCTCAGTTTCCCCACCCTTCAGGGCAACCGCATATGAAAGGTGATGGGGGCATAGGGAGTGGTGAGTGAGGCAATTTGGAACATGCACCATCCTAGAGCTATCCTGGTCCTGTCGAGCACAGCGTACTGCCCTTCTGTGCTAACTGCCAGGCCTGGGGTTCTATGTGGTTGTGCAAGGCAAGGCTGACTAGCTTTTCCATCAGTATGTTTGAATTCCCCAAGTCTCCCGTGGCTCAATGGGTCTGCCCCAGAGTCAACACCATTAGACCCCTGCACAGTCTCACTCATGCATACACACTTGCTTTCAAAGAACATTCATTGTGTGCCTTGCTTTGGGCTGAGGTTGCCAGGCATGCCTTCTGCCCTTGGAAACTTCATTGACAAGCAGGGGAAGCAGATGTACACCTGCCAAGTTGACCCAGGATTAAACACAAATTGCAGGAGAAGTACCAAGTGCTGAGACTTTGGATGATGTTTGTTTCTCTCTTTGCATGAGCCACTAGGAAGCTCTATTCTTCAGTCATCCTGCAAGATGTTGCAACATTCTTTCTTATCTTCTGTAGCTTGTTCGTTTTATCATCTGTGGCATTTTATCTTTGGGGAATGAGGAGTCCTATCCTAGTGTGGTACTGTAGGATTAGCACTGGACTGCTGACCGAAAGGTTGGTGGTTCAAATCCTTGGAAACCCTATACAGGATTACTACCAGTCAAAACCGACAGCATGTAACAACAACATACATCAATTTCACAGGGTTACTGTTGGTATGAATAAGGTGCCTCGGTGTTATTGGCAAAAGAAGATTTCTGATTTAGGAGGTCAGGGATGGCTTCATGGAGGAAGCAGCCTTTGGGGTGGGATGGTCACAAAGGGCTCCTTGGACAGGAGGTGGGGGCAGTTCTGCAAAAGGAGAGAACTTAGAGGCTGGACCGTGCAGGGTAAGGTGGGGATACCTGGGTAGCTTTGCTGGGGAGAGTGGTAAGAGAGGAAGCAGATGGATATGTGGAAGCAAGCTGGTGGTAGCTTTGACTCGTGCCGTTTGAGGGGCTTACCAGCATCTCAGGATACCCTATATCTCACTCCCCATGCCTCCTCACCAGCAGCCCCAACCTTGCCCTCTAGCCCAAGCTGGATGCTGAGAGTCCTGTTTACCGCTTGAGGTCCCCAGCCTCACACTCGTGCCAGCCCAATTGCGGGCCCAATTACTTATTGATTATCTGTCAGGATGTTTGCTTTTCTGGTGGGTCACTGGAGCGTGTGTGACTCTGGAAAACATCCTGGGGGGGGGGGGGTGCGGCTGGGAGGCCAAGCCACAGAGGAGGCTGGAGAGAAGCTAATAGGGCCTGGATGTGGGGAATGAATCAGTCTTAGGGGGAAAGAAATCTTGCAGATTCCATAACATGTCAGTGACACCCAGAGCCTCTCTGGTTAATCAGTCACTTAGTTGATCAACAACCAGGGAGCTCCAGTCAGTCCTGGGAGACAGACGTAACTTTGGAAAGTACATTGCGTTGGTATTGGCAACGCTCTGGTTCCAGTCAGCCCACTCGATTGCCTGGGTGATGTTTGGCAGCTACACCTTCTCTGCTCCTTAGTTGCCTTAAGGATTGAATTGTGGATTCTATTGAGATGGTGTGGAAAGGGGTGGCCGGAGGGAGAAGGGTCCCCCCAGGGCCATAAAGGGATGGACACTGCAGCCGAACCTCAGGGTGCTAGCAGCAGAGTGAGGAGCAGGGCTGCACCATCTGGTCTACCCCCCTGGAGATTCAAGAGTGCAGTTCCTAGAGAGTTGGGACCAACCCTTCCAGGCCCTACTTCCACCTCCTCCGCATGCTGGGCCAGTTTTCTTGCAGAAGACAGCAGAGGGGAGGACATGGGGACAGAGGAGGGAAGAGGAAATGGGAGGTCACTGGGCACAAGTGGAAAGCAAGTGGCCTCTGAATAAGAGATGGGGAGAATAACGGGGAGCCAGCTCCCACACCAAGCCACCCACTGCCATGAAGTCAGTTCCAACTCACAGTGACCTTACAGGCCAGCGCAGAGCTGGCTGCCTGTGGCTTCCAAGGCGGTCACTTTACTGAAGCAGACTGCCTCTTCTTTCTCCTACAGAGCCAGATGGTGGGCTTGAACCACTGACCTTTTGGCTAGCAGCCTAGAACTTCATTCATGTAGCTCCACATACCCCTTCCTTACTCTTCCTTTCAACCTATCCTCAAGCAAGGGTCCCCGGGGATCCCTGAGCTCACCTCACCTGTCACCATCCAAGTCCTGCATGTTCTGTAGGGTCTGGCTGTCCCCAGCCTCCCTTCGGGTACCACAGTGTGGAGCAGCTGTCCTGGCATTGCCCGTCCAGGGCTGTGAGAACCTAACCAGCTCCTCCCTCAGCCTAGCAGCCTCATAGAGCGCTGGTACCAGGAGGAAGATGTTTAGAATTCTGAGAGACAGAACCGGTGAGAGTTGAGAGGCTTTCAGGGGACCCAGCTGATTGCCCTTCGGAGCTAACTGCCAGGTCTGGGGCAAGAGGGCAGAAAAAGTTTCTCCGAGTAGCAGACATTCAGTTTGGCCTTGAAGCCAGGATTTCGATAGGCAGTTGAAGCTCATTCCAAGGCAAGCTCTGTAGGTGCAAAGGCCAGGAGGCTGGAAACCCCTTTTAGGGTCCTGAACTCCTGGGCCGGGCTAAGAGGAAGGTAAGAGTTAGGAATTTCACAGGATGCTTAGCTGGGATTTACAGGTGCAAGGGGAAGGGCTGGGTTCTACTTTCTATATGGGTACCTTCCACTGATCTAGGAACCCCATCAGGGAGCGGGTTTGTAAACAATGCCAGCTATTGCTGGGCATCTGCCGGTTTGCTGGCTGCCCAGGATTCTTGGGCCTGGGGCCTCAACAGCTGTGCTGGTAGGGAGGGAACCATGGCATCTGAAACTGGGGGGTCTCGGGGCTACCTGTGGGTCCCCAGCAGCCTTGGGAGCCCCAGCTAGGCCTGCTGGGGACCATTCAATATCTCTGGTGCTGCTCCTAGGGGCCTCAACCTTTGAGCCCCTTTGATCCCTTCCGTGAGCCCAAGGGCGGCTCAGCAGGTCTGACTTTATCTCTGCTAAGCAGTGGGGAAGCTGAGGCTCAAGGAGGAGTGTTGGGCCTGTACGTAAAGGAGGCTGGGACTGCCTGTGGCTCCCACACCAGGCTTCTCTGAGGTGACTCCACTCCCTGTCCCCAATATGTTGAGAGGGTCCTTCAGGTAGGTCTGGGCAGGGTAAGGAACAAGGAGGAGTCAGCCTGGGTCCTAGGCAGGTGGCATATGTGACCTCCCACCTGCCAGAGGAGCAGGGAACTGAGGGCTTGGGGTAGGGAGCTCTGGTAGCGTAGTCGTTAGGAATCGGGCTGTGAACCTTAAGGTCAGCAGTTTGAAACTACCAGCTGTTCCGTGGGAGAAAGATGAGGCTTTCTGCTCCCGTAAAGATTTACAGCCTCGGAAACCCTGTACAGGGTCGCTGTGAGTCAGAACCTACTCCATGGCACATAACCACCACCACCCTCTAATTGAATCTCTGTCCTTTGCTTGCTCCCGGCTGCAGGTGAGCGAGAGGATGCTGGCCGGGGGTGTGAGGAGCATGCCCAGCCCCCTCCTGGCCTGCTGGCAGCCCATCCTCCTGCTGGTGCTGGGCTCGGTGCTGTCAGGCTCGGCCACAGGCTGCCCTCCACGCTGTGAGTGCTCTGCCCAGGACCGAGCTGTGCTCTGCCACCGCAAGCGCTTCGTGGCAGTGCCCGAGGGCATCCCCACCGAGACACGCTTGCTAGACCTGGGCAAGAACCGCATCAAGACTCTCAACCAGGACGAGTTTGCCAGCTTCCCACACCTGGAGGAACTGGAACTCAACGAGAACATTGTAAGCGCCGTGGAGCCCGGCGCCTTCAATAACCTCTTCAATCTCCGGACGCTGGGGCTCCGAAGCAATCGTCTGAAGCTCATCCCACTGGGCGTCTTCACCGGCCTCAGTAACCTGACCAAGCTGGACATCAGTGAGAACAAGATCGTCATCCTGCTGGATTACATGTTCCAGGACCTGTACAACCTCAAGTCGCTGGAGGTCGGGGACAACGACCTAGTCTATATCTCTCACCGCGCCTTCAGCGGCCTCAACAGCCTGGAACAGCTGACCCTGGAGAAGTGCAACTTGACCTCCATCCCCACGGAGGCGCTGTCCCATCTGCACGGCCTCATTGTCCTGCGGCTCCGGCACCTCAACATCAATGCCATCCGGGACTACTCCTTCAAGAGGTTGTACCGGCTCAAGGTCTTGGAGATCTCCCACTGGCCCTACTTGGACACCATGACCCCCAACTGCCTCTACGGTCTCAACCTGACATCCCTGTCCATCACACATTGCAATCTGACCGCCGTGCCCTACTTGGCTGTGCGCCACCTGGTCTATCTCCGCTTCCTCAACCTCTCCTACAACCCCATCGGCACCATCGAGGGCTCCATGTTACATGAGTTGCTTCGACTGCAGGAGATCCAGCTGGTGGGTGGGCAGCTGGCTGTGGTGGAGCCTTATGCCTTCCGTGGCCTCAACTACCTGCGCGTGCTCAACGTCTCTGGCAACCAGCTGACCACGCTGGAGGAGTCAGCCTTCCACTCGGTAGGCAACTTGGAGACACTCATTCTGGACTCCAACCCACTGGCCTGCGACTGCCGTCTCCTGTGGGTGTTCCGGCGCCGCTGGAGGCTCAACTTCAATCGTCAGCAGCCTACCTGTGCCACGCCCGAGTTTGTCCAGGGCAAGGAATTCAAGGACTTCCCCGATGTGCTCCTGCCGAACTATTTCACCTGCCGTCGCGCCCGCATCCGGGACCGCAAGGCCCAGCAGGTGTTTGTGGATGAGGGACACACAGTGCAGTTTGTGTGCCGGGCAGATGGAGACCCACCCCCTGCCATCCTCTGGCTCTCACCCCGTAAGCACCTGGTCTCAGCTAAGAGCAACGGGCGGCTCACAGTCTTCCCTGATGGTACTCTGGAAGTGCGCTACGCCCAGGTACAGGACAACGGCACGTACCTGTGCATCGCAGCCAACGCGGGCGGCAACGACTCCATGCCTGCCCACCTGCATGTGCGCAGCTACTCGCCCGACTGGCCCCATCAGCCCAACAAGACCTTCGCCTTCATCTCCAACCAGCCGGGCGAGGGAGAGGCCAACAGTACCCGCGCCACTGTGCCTTTCCCTTTTGACATCAAGACCCTCATCATCGCCACTACTATGGGCTTCATCTCCTTCCTGGGGGTCGTGCTCTTTTGCCTGGTGCTGTTGTTTCTCTGGAGCCGGGGAAAGGGCAACACGAAGCACAACATCGAGATCGAGTACGTGCCCCGCAAGTCAGACGCGGGCATCAGCTCCGCCGACGCACCCCGCAAGTTCAACATGAAGATGATATGAGGACGGGGCGGGGGGAACACGGACTTCCAGGCGTGCCAGGAAGGGGAAGGGGCCTGGCCACCGTCTGCCTGCTCCCCAGGCTTACTCACCTCCTTCGTGCCCCTCCACACACACTCTTTTTCTCCCTCCCACCCCTGCCCCTGCTGCTCCCACCAGCCCTCACCGGCTGCCCTCTTTCTACCAGGACCTCAGAAGTCTAGGCCTGGGGACCCCACCTCACAGGGGCATGTGCTGACAGACTGGAGTCAGAGGCTGACAAACCGACAACGCGGCTCAGTCAGATAATTCAATTTAAAAAAAAGTTACGAACTTCCTCTGTAACTTGGGTTTCAAAAATTATGGATTTTTATGAAAACTTGAAATAATAAAAAGAGAAAAAAAAACACACACACAACTATTTCCTATAGCTAGTCGGAATGCAAACTTTTGACGTCCTGATTGCTCCAGGGCCTTCTTCCAACTCAGTTTCTTGTTTTTCTCTTCCTCCCCTTCTCCTCTTCTTCCTCCTTTCTCTTCTCTTCCCCTGTGGGGAGGGACCACTCAGGAAAACAGGAGAGGAGGTTCCAGCCCTACCTGCCCACCCATCCTGCCGAGGCAACCGCAGATGCAGGCTCCATGGTGGATCAGGGCCCCATTCCGGGCTGGCTGTTTGCAGGGAGTGGGTGAAGGGACAGGGATGCCAAGTGGGTGGGGGACTGTCTGGGGCTGTAGGCAGCACTGTTGCCAGGGCAGGGGTCTGGGTCAGGCCTGGCTGAGACTGGACAGGCACAACAGGGGTCCTCCTGGAGGGACAGTACAGTCTGTGGAGAGGGCCAGGGGTCGGAGGCAGGACTGAGGCCTATCTTCCAGTCCTAGCCCTGCTGCCGACATGCTGAGTTTTCACATCTGTACAAACGGGAACGCGATTCCCCGCCCTGCCTACCTCACAGGGCTGTTGTGAGGAATTGATGAGATGATGTATGTGAAACAATTTGTAACCTGTAAAGCGCTGTGCACATGTGTGGGTGACTTCTCCTTCTGGTCATTATTCTCTCACTGTGGCGGGGGCGCTACTGAAGAGCCCTCAGAGCTGAGGGATGTCAGCAGGGGAGGCCCCAGGAGACTTCCAGAGCACCCGCCGAGGATCGCAGCCTGCTCTGTGGCTGGCAGCACTGATCTTAGAGACGTGGTGTGGGTCCTGAGGCCCATGTTGAATGTCACAGCTTTGGTAGCCTCTGGTCTGGAGGAAGCCAGCTTGGGCCTGGCTCTAGTTAGGGATTGAGAGCACCAACTGTCTCCAGGACTTCTTGCCATAGCATTGATTGAGCGCCTACTGTATACTACTTCCCATTCAAGTGCTCAGTCTGTGGGAGTTTGGGGAGGCATTACCCTTGGGAGTGCCCAGACCCAGCTTGCCACCCAAGCTCTGTCCTGTCTCCCACCAGACCATACTCTGAGCCTCTTCTGTGCCCTTAAAGGTGCTGGGTGTGGGGCTTGGATCTACGTGCACATGAGCTGACCAGGAGGGCCAGATAACTTACCACCTGCACCTTGCCCCACATGTTCGAACCAACCTGTATGCTCCACAACAGCGCTGGAAAGTGATTTCCCCGATGGTAGTTGGTCACCTCCTAGCCTTGCCCAGAGTCCATGAGTCTTGGCTCAAGAAGTTGGGCCAGAGCTTAGCCAGCAGACCATGTGCCCACTCTACCTCCATACCCTCTGCTGGACAGGGGGACCTGGCATCTTCCTGCCAACTTTCTTCTTTTTCTTAGGGACCCCTTGGACTCAGCCTCAGACGGCATTGCTGCCCAGTAAGCCCTGAGCCTAGGAAACTACTCCAGAAGTACAGACTCAATCCATCAGGGAAAGGGAGCAATAGGGAAGTCAGCCCTCAGCAACAAGAGGCTTCCGGAGTGCAGCTCCGGGTCTCCAGGCAGTTGAGTAGACTCTGAGTCATGCGTGTGGCAAAGGCCATGGAATTTTCAGGCTCTGGTTTTGGGGGAAGTAGAGTGTGAAGCCTTTCTACCAAGGTACCTCTGGGTGGAACTGAAGCAACCTTTCAGTTAGCAGATGAGCCTATTAACCATTTGTACCAGTCAGGGCCTCCAGCTATACACCTGACACTTTCTAAACGAAGCCTCTGGTGGCATTGCATGAGGAGCAGAATCTGGCCTGGAACTAATACTCAGTTACTTACTCATTCATCCATCCATCCGTCCAAGATTCATTCACTGAACCTACCTGTGAACCTACTCTGCTCCGACCCCTGGTTGATTGATGGCGTTTGTAGCCAACATCTGGATCATCTCCCAACCACCCTCAGGACTATCGCTGGCTCTGGGGAAGGTGCAAACCTTCTAAACTGTGGTCTTATCCCTTAAGAGGAAGCAGGATCTTCTCCCCATAGGATCCTAGAATGTGGACTCAGGAAAGCTTGAGGATTGCTAGAGTCAGCCTATATGAGCGATTATAAGGATGTGAGGTTTGAGGTTGTGCCCAAGCTTGAGTCCCAGCTGTAGGGAATTAATACTTAACCCCTCAGAGCCTCAGTCTTCTCATCTCAAAGATGATCCTAGTAGATTTGGTTGTTAGAATTAAATGAGAGAACATGGCATATATTTGTTGATTGCTGCCATGCCTAGGAGCCCTGGTGTGGCACTTTGGGATAGGACCGAAAGGTTGGTTTGAACTACAGGATCAGTGGTTCAAACTCACTAGCTGCTCCTCAAAACCCTATACTGTGATACTATGAGTTGGAGCCAACTCGATGGCACCTAACAACAACAACCACCGTGGCTGGCACTCAGTCCTCTACAAATGATAATTCTAATTATTGTTGAGTCTAATTTTCATATAAATGCCAACCTGAGGACCAGAGAGGGTGATGGCTTATCTAAATTCACACAGTTCCTAAGCCACAGGACCACAGCTGTGGCCTTCGAAGCCTGGTTCACAGCTTCTCAGAGCCAGGCCTGGACACCAAACAAGACACCACTATGGGGACTCCAGAGGTGGGGAGAAGAATCCTTGAATGTGGGTGCCCTGTATGCAACAAGAGGTTGGTGACATCACAGGAAACACCAAGAGCCCACCTGTGTCCACCTGTGGAGAGAAACCAGAACACACTCGCCATTATCCAGCCCTGAAAGGTCTGGCCTGTGCTGTCCATTCCACTCGTAAGAAGCAACTCCTCTGGGATGCCTGGAGAGTCTGGGACCAATTCCTTCCTGGCTGCTGGTGAGGAATTGGACCTCTGAGAAAACTCGAGGGCACAGACAATTGTGATTTTTCAAATGGGGGAGAGAGGCTGTTGTAGGTGTGGGGATGGGGGAACATACAGTACCAGGAACATCTCAGTTAAAATCCCATCTCCACCATGAGTCCCATATAGAAATGAGGTTAAGAAATCCTATGTTAGAGGGTTTGGGAGGATTAAAGATCGTTGTGAAGTGTCTACCTACAGTGTCTACCTCCTGGCTGGGATGCACTAATGACCACTGTTGTTAACATGACATATGGGCAAGCAGGGTGGTGGCCAGATTCAAGGAACTGTATGAGGGACACAATGGAGACCCCAAAGAACTGGAACTCCAATGGGAGTGTGGTGGAAACTAAGCCTGGGTTGTGCACTCTGATTTGCTGCTGAAGACCTCTTGGGGTTGTGTGGAGTAGGTAAGACCACCAACCCTGTGTGCCCGGCACAGCCACGCCCCAGACCTTGGACGATAGCTAGAGCCTATATGTGTGTTTGGGGGAGTGGAGAGCACAGGGAACAAAGGAGAAGGGGTGAGAGGTGTCGTGCAGATGCCTGGTTGGTGTTAGACTTCTCAAGATCCAAGGGAAGTTCTGGTGCCAGGGTTCATGAGGTACAAGGAGTAGGGACCACACAAACCAGTTGGAGTTGATCAATTTATTGGGGCCCAAGCCCTGGAGAAGGACATCATGTTTGGTAAAGTGGAGGATCCACATGAAAGAGGAAGACCCCCAATGAGATGGATTGGCACAGTCTTAGCAGCAATGGGCTCATACGTAGCAAGGCCTGTGAGATGGTGCAAAGCCAGGCAGTGTTTTGTTCTGTTGTGCATAAGGTCACTATAAGTCGGTCCTGACTCAACAGTGCCTAACCCAGGGTTCCATGGTTGATTGCCCTTGCTGCTTCTTGCCCGGCTGAGTGTCCTCTGATGACATGGCCACCTCCCAACCAGGACCCCCAGCTCCAGCTCCCTTAATGCTCTAGCTAAAGTCTCTGTTCTCTTCTTTCCCAGTCTCCAGAGAAAAGCTACTAGCCAATGGTTTGTCTGCTTCTAAGTCAGATGCTCATCCCTTTGTCCAGTCAGCTATGACTAAGGATCTCAACATTGTAAAAACCAAATTTGGATAAAGATGGTGCAAGAAGAACTAGGGAACTATATCGGTTATGTATTGTGATATAACAACTATCCCCAAATGTAGTTAAAACAGTAGCAATCATTGATTTGTTCTCAGTTCTGTAACTGACCGTAGACAGATTGATGCTTTTGAGTTACGGTGTTGGAGGAGAATATTGAAGGTGCCATGGACTGCCAAAGGAACCAACAGATCTGTATTGGAAGAAGTGCAGCCAGAGTGCTCCTTAAGAGGCCAGGATGACCAAACTTCGTCTCTCATAATACAGACATATTGTTAGAAGGGACCAGTCACTGGAGAAGGATATCATGTTTGGTAAAGTGGAGGGTCAGAGACAAAAAGAGGAAGACCTCCAGCGAGATTAATTAGCCAAGTGGCAGCATCAATGGGGTCAAGCATGGCAACAATAGGTTGGCCCAGGATCAGGCAGTGTTTTGTTCTGTTGTATGGAGGGTCGCTATGAGTCGGTACAGACTCGATGGCACCTAACAACAACAACAAGGTGAAAACTTCATCTTTGCTCAGCATCATGACAACAGGGGTGGTTTGTCGGGACTGAAAGCTCCAAAGTGGCATCTGGCCATGTATGTCACCTTAGCTGGGGTGGTTGGAATAGCTTGAGGCTGGCCTCTCCTTTGCCACATGCGTTCTCCAGCAGGCTGTTGTTGTTGTTGTTGTTAAGTGCCGTCGAGTCGGTTCCAACCCATAGCGACCCTGTACAGGGTTTCCGAGGGTATAAATCTTTACGGGAGTAGAAAGTCTCATCTTTCTCCCGCGGAGAGTCTGGTAGTTTCAAACCTTAAGGTTTGCAGCCCGATTCGTAACCACTACACTACCAGATCTCCTTCTCCAGCAGGCTAGCTGACTTCTTTATGGTGGCTTAGGGCTCCAAGATGGTGAAGGACGGAAGCAGCCAGGTATCTTAAGGGCTAATCCACCAAGGCACATGGCTTCACTTTCTTGCTGCATTCTATTTTAATTTTTGTTAAGGTTTTTTAATTGTGGATTAAGTG